AGGTACTATGTCTGGCTGTTGCTGTTGGTCATGTGAAGATGACAGATGATGAGCTTGTGTATAACATCCACCTGGCTGTCAACTTCCTGGTGTCATTGCTCAAGAAGAATTGGCAGAATGTCCGGGCTTTATACATCAAGAGCACCATGGGCAAGCCCCAGCGCCTGTATTAAGGCACATCCTAATAAATCCTAGTGCTACCATCCCTTAGTCTGCCTGTGATTAGAAATGGACTGTTTTCTGCGCTGATAGTTGCATGTGTTAGAATTATTCGTAGCTAGTTGCTTATGGTTTGTCACCTTGGTGATGGGCAGTTGGGTACCATACTATGGATTACACTCTCCTTCCTGCCACCAAAGTCATGTAGTCTTGAGCCCTCATACCTAGAGTATGTGATAATAGGGTTGCTGACAAGATTGAAGCTTTTTTTTTTAAATATATATTTTAGTTGTAGGTGGACAAATAACCTTTATTTTGTTTATTTTTTTATGTGGTGCTGAGGATTGAATCCAGGACCCCCTTTATAGAATCCTTAGTATCTTGTGGATCCTGTATTTTGAGTTCTAAATTGAAAGGTAAATGTCTGGGAAAATACGAATAACAGAATTTTAGTTGCTGGATTCTATTGATAACTGTAGAATAAGCAGTGGGTGGAGTCAGAGTGTGGAAATTTCCAAGCTCTTTGTCCCAGGCAGCTCAACCACTTCCCTAGCCTTAAGACCTTCCCTGTTACAGTACTTGACTCCAGCATCCAATGCTGATGCAGAAATGCTTATGCTGGTTTAACCTTTGTCTTGGATCTGCTTCATTTAACTTTGGTAAACAGAAAAATCAGTGCATCCTTATGCAGGGTGTGTGTGGTTTTGAGGAGACAGTGTCTCCCTAGGTTGCCCACACTGGCTTTAAACTCGGGCTCCTCCTGGGTAGCTGGGAGTAAAGGCATGCACCAGTGCGCTTGACCTGAAAGGTTAATCCAAAGGATAATGCTATAGTTGAGACAAGCTTTGTCATTGAACTGAAAAATGTAAGTTTTCACCCAAGATTTTCTGCTTTTTTGGAGGGGATACCAGGTATTGAACTCATGGCACTTAACCACTGAGCCATATCCTAGTGCTAATTTTGTTATTTTGAGACTGGGTCTCACTGAATTGCTTAGTGCCTCACTTTTGCAGAGGCTGGCTTTGAACTCAACAGTCCAGCCTCAGCCTCCAGAGCTGCTGGGATTACAGGCCTTGCATTTTTTTTTTAAAAAAAAAAACTTTTTAATGTGGTGCCGGATTGAACACGGCGTGCAAGGTTGAGTACTCTACAGCTGAGCCATACCCTCAGCCTCTGGCCTTGCATTTTTTGAGTAAATTATAACTCCTGCTTTCTGGTAAGATAGCTAACTACAGTGTAAAGGGAATGAGCATGAAGCTTTGAGTTGCAAGGTATTGGGCAGAGCCTCCTTCCTCTTCTGGCTGTTAGCTAGTATTGTTGGAAGGTCACCCCCCATCAAGTTAAGGAATAGGAAAAGGTTAGGGCCCATTTCTTAAAGAGCTTTGATCTTGCATCCAGGGATGACTTTGACCCTTAAGCCAGGCATATGGGTCCTTCTAAATGAAGTTCCAGGGACACTCCCATTCAAGTGACAGGCAGTCTTTCTAGTTCAGTGGACCTGACTCAGTTTGGAAACCATCTATAAATTTGAGGTTGGACCAGATGAGCTCAAAGGCTAGAATTCTAGAGTAGATTAGTAAGATTTGGAACACAACTGACCCACAAACAAATGACTTTAATTATTTTTTTTTCTTGAGCAGGAACTAGGCCTTGAGGGCCTTGCCCCAGCCCAGAACCACATTTATAATATAACCCATCACAGCTGGATTTAAAAAATACACAAAAATATATATATATATATAATAAACATTATAAAACCTAGGTGGGATTTGGAGGTGGCCTGAGCAATATGCAAACTGTGAGGACCTTCAGGAAGCTCGGGCAAGGTGGGGTGGTGGTAAGGAAGGGGCACAGTACTTCATATGAAACTTATAAATACCCAGAGGTGAAGGTGGCTGGGGGACAGTCCACCAGCTCTCAGAGGCTTGGATACAGGGAAGGATTAACAGGACTAGGAAACTGCTGCCCAGGACAAGATCTGAGCAGGGGGCTTACCCTGTAGGGTATATGGAGGCTCTGGTGCCACTGGCTGGCTTGCAGACTGGAGTACCTAGGAGCCTTGTCCAAACAGGTACTTCCCCATAGTGGGGAATGCTGGGAGGAGGTACTATATCCGGACCCCCAACCCACCAGTCCTTGGCAGTTCCACTCCTCACTCTCATACAGACCCACCACTGACCAGCCCCCAGGAAGTAAACCTGGGCTCTAGCTCTACCCATCCCTCACTGGGAGCTACAGAGTCAGGATTGCACAGGCCACATAAGGAGCCTGGCTTCAGACCTGGCACACAGGAGATGCAAAAAAACATGGGCCCCTCTCAACCAGGCCCCCAACCTGATGCTCTTTCCCCCTCTGCAGGCTGCCTCCCTGGGTCTCCCATTCTACCTTGCCCATCGCATTCCCCTGGAGGCCAGGAGCTACACACTGGAGCCTGAGGGGGTCCTCCATCCCCACAGAACCAGCTGATGGTGGTCAGTGCCCTGGGCAAGCTGCCTCACTACTGAGCCCTCCTCTCTTCTCCCACAATTAAAGCGCAGAACAGTGGCAGGGAGTGTGTGTGCCAGGGATGGGCGGGGAGGCCTCTTGGGTCCAGGGCCTGAGGCCTGGCAGGTGGAAGAGTTCTCAACCTGGACTCCTGGGGGTGCCAGGCAGGTGTGTGGAAAAGATGCTCATCTTGCAACCTTGAGGAGGCACAGAGAACACCCTAGTCTTTGACAAGCTTGTAGACGTGGTGCTGGGCCCCATGCTCACTGGTGGAGACTTCGAAGACAAAAGCAATGACGAGCAGGGTCTCCTGGGAGTCTCGGCTTGTGACCACCTGGGGGGCAGGTAGGGCGGTTCACAGGGGGGCAGCCAGGGGCAGGGAGCTGGATGGGCCCTTCTGCATTGGTCTCAAGTCTCATCTGAGCCACCATTCTGCTATCCCACTTAACTCCCTGGCCTGCGGCCCTCCTGGGACGCCCAGTGAGCCCTGCTGCCCACACACCTGCAGGATGGTGAAGTTCTCCAGGACGCTGTTCATCATGTACTTCTCGGGCAGGTGCTTCAGCTTGTGGATGAAGTTGATCATGTACTCACACATGGGCGAGCGGTGGATGCGGTACACAAAGCGGCCATTCTCCAGCCGGGCATACTCCGTCTGGGAGGGCCAGAAGACATCACCAAGCCTGCCCACACCGGCCCACCCACCCTGTCCCCATGGCCCCACTCACCTCCACCTTCTCCACCACCTGCTTGCCAAAGGAGCACACCTTAGTGGACACACTGATGGTCATGCTGTCGGCAGAGCTGTACTGGGAGCTGACCCCATAGAAGGCTCCTGGGCCCTCCTGGATAGTACTGTTGAGGTCAGCCTGGGGATAGGGCAGGGGTGGGGGTGGATGTCTCAGTTCCTGGCAGAGGCCAGTGGGAGGTGTCACACCCCAGGACCTGTCTCTGGCACTCAGCCCACAGGCCACAGGAGAAGAGCTGGATTAGGGTCAGTTTAGGAAGCTGGATGTGCTGCCCATCTGGGGTGGGGAAGGGCGCTGGGAGCAGGGAGGGACCAGGGTGGCTCACCCAGAACTTGACAAGGAAGAAGGCGTTAGGGGGCCCCTTCTCATAAAGCTCCTTCAGTCCACCCTTTTTCTCAGGGAACTTGTCATAGATCTGCCGCACGTCTACTGCCTCCAGGGGCGGGTCTGAGAAGGCAGGGTTCGTCTGGCCGATGTGCACAAACAGGTGTTTGCTGTACTGTGGGGAGGGCCCAGACAGGGTCAGGGGCACTGGGCACATAGGCCTGGACAGGGGGGCTGCACAGGGACAGAACTTCCCTATGGCAGATCAGACCCCCAAACTCATGATCCTGACACAGGGTCCTGAACCGTGCAGCATCACCCCCTCCCCACACACATTACCGTGTCGGGGTCTCGCTGCACCTCCATAAAGGCCGAATACTCAAGCAGCCGCAGCCGGGAGGAGGCGATGGTGCGGTCCTGCCACACGGGCACAGAGGCAGCAGCTGGGGGCAGCGGGGCCAGGGGCTCGTAACCTGTGAGGTGAGATGGAGCCTCCTCTGCACGGGCACAGGTGCGTTATCACACACAGAGCTGCCGTGGCCTGCACCAGGCTCTGCGCAAATAGGCGCCCGGTGCCATGGTGCCCTCATAGTAGGAAATGGCTGGATTCTGACTTCCTGCGAGGTGTCCTGTACACTGTACACCCACAGAAGGTAGCCCTTACAGCACACGACACACACGCTTCTTTGTGTCACTATTAAAATGTGTCTAAACAGAAAATGCCAAAAAGTAAAAAGAGAAAATAACAACTACCCAGAACCCCAACGCCTAGAGAGACAATTTGGGAGGATGTTTACGGGAGCTTTCCAGACACAGCGACACATGTGAATGGGCTGTGCCTTGGCCACATATCGTTTTCTGCCAGAGTTCCAGAAGCAACAGCAAGATTGTAAGTCCCAATCTCCTGTAGGTGTGGTACACCAGGGTTCCACACACACACACACACACATATGCACACTGTCACCTATGTGCATACTGCAGGGGCACTGCCAAGGGAGGGCTGTGGTGGGCAGCCTTGCTGGGGCACTTACTGCTGAGCGTGGGTGGCAGGGGTGGCTGGATGGGGTAGGCTGGCTGCGCGAAGGGCTTGATGCTGCGGGCAGGACGGTGTGGTTAGAGGCTTTCCTTGGCACCTCTCACCTGCCCCAGTCCCTCATCTGGGACCCCAATAGGAAGTCACCCAGCCTTTCTGCTGAAGTCCAGGAATGTCTGCTGACAAGTTAACTCGCAACCTTTCTGTTTCTTTCACATTTTAACTTTCAAGAAATCCTCTGCAGCTCACCATTGGTGGACACGTTGAAGGTTGCCTTTCAGCCCCACCCCCCCCAAAGCTGTTCATTAAACTGCGGGTGTGACTTACAATACGTGTTGTAAGAAGGCCAGTAGCTTGACCACCTGCCTGACTCAGGTGAACCCAGTGAAAAATAAACCAAGGGCCAACATAAGGGATGGCGGGGCTGCGGGTGACGAGCCCAGGAGCACAGAGCTGGGAGTCCTGCTGCAGCCTCCGGCCCTATAGTTTTGCATTCCAGCTCTGCACAGCTGGGCCGGGGCCCAGGTGGGGGGGCCCGTGGCTGGCAGGAGGGGACCTGCAGTACTCACTCCTGAGAGGGTCCAGGCTGCTGTCCCAGGAGAGGGGGGCTGCTCCAGAACTGCAGATGGGACAAAGCCAGGGCCCTTCAGGATCCATGAATCCCAGAAGGCCCAGACCCCCCAGCCCCACCTCCCAGGACCCAGTACCCTTGAGGACGTGGAGAAGACGGCCTGCGGCAGAGGGGAGGGCGGGCTGAACTTGTTCTGCAGGACACTGGCGGAGACGATCTGGGCAGAGGACATGGATGCCATGCTCTGGAGGGCTTTGTCCTTGGAGACCTGGTCCTGGGAATGGGAGGGTGGAAGTGAGACCTGTGCCAGGCCCCCCCGCCCAGAGGGCTTTGGGAGGCCAGGTGTGGACTCCACTTCCAGCTCTGCCAAGAGGTCTATTGAGTGTCTTCTCTGAGCCCAGTCGCCTAGGGGTATGTCAACTCCCTGACCACAACCCATAGTGAGGAACAGCACTGCTTTATGCCACAGCCCACTGTGGCCGTCCCTCAGGATCCACGGGGGACAGGATCCAAATGCTCAGGAGTCCCTTATGTAAACTGGCACTGCATTTTAAAGAACCTACACATTCTTCTGTGTCCTTTCAATCATCTCCAGATTATTTCTATATCTAGCGCAATACAAGTTATATGCAAATTGTCCTCCCCCAAGAGGCTGGGAGCATGGGTGCGGGTAACAGTTTACTTTCAGAGAGGTCTTGCCAAGATGCTGAGGCTGGCCTTGAACATCTTCCTGCCTCAGCCTCTGGAGTTACTGGGATTACATGTGCCATTGCACCCGGCATAAAAAATTTTTATACTAGAATTTTTAGGGAATAATGTCAAGGAAAAGAGGTCTGTATGTGTTCAGTACAGACAATCTTTTTCAAATATTTAAAAATCTGGGGCTGGTTGAATCCACAGGTTCAGAACCCATGGAAACAGAAGCCTAGCAGCATCTACCAAAATATTTCCCCTTGATGGACACCGCACACACTCGTAATTTCTATTTCTTCAGGGTGTCTTCAAGTATGATACGTGGACCAACAGCACCAGCATCACCAGGGAGCAGGTGAGAAAATCAACCTTTCAGGCCTCAGCATGGACCTAAGGAATCAGGAACCCCAAGGGAAGCCCCAGAGGTCTGTTTGAAGGAGCCCTTCGGGGGACCTGCCACCCACCGAAGCCTGTGAACAACTGCATTTCATTCTTACAAATGCTGCTTGCAAACGTGTTAAACTGATTTCATAATCCGTAATTTGTTTTTTTTTTTTGTTTGTTTGTCTGAGGTGCTGAGGACTGAATCCTGGGCCTGGCCCGTGCTAGGCAAGCCTCTACCCCCAAGCCACACCCGAGTCCCCTGCACTCTAATTTGAAAACTCCACCTGTGGCGCTCTAGACCCTCCCCCGGGAGGCGGTACAACTTACCAGGTTCATGGCCTGTGAAGGAGAGGAGGACAGATTAGAAGAGACATGGTGACAGCTCCATGGGGCAAGGGGACATGTCTTCACCTACCCCCACCCAGTGCCCACCTGGCTATCAGCTCCCGGGGAGCCCAGGGAAGCTTAGAGGCAGCAGTGGGCACTGCCCACCCGCTGAAGGGAGTGCCTGCCAGCTGGGGGTGCCCTGGAAGGGGTAGGATGAAGGGGGGACAAGCTGGCACACCCTGCATCTGTCCCCTGGAATTGTGTATAGGATGGGGAGCTAGGGGCGGGGAAAAGAGCATCCGGGCAACCTGTGAGCCTGACGTGGTCCAGCTCAACCCCAGACCCAGGTCCTCAGGCACAGAGCAGCCAGGACCATGAGGAAATGGCGTGCCCACCTCCTCAGCCCTGCCAGCCAGCATCCACCAGGACCTGCCCACCCGGAGTCCCCATGCGTTTAGCAAGCAGCAATCAGAATGAAGGAGAAAAGGAATCAGAGGAGAGATGGCTCTTAGTGGCCCCAAGTTGGTCTCCCTCTCTCTCGCTGTAGGGCTGCCACCCCCCACTCCCGGGCTCCTGCTCAGTCTCCAGGGACTGTGGCCCTGAGAAGCCTGTCACAGCCTTCGGGCTCCCGGCTCACACCTGTGCTTCTGAGACCCCCGCTCAGCGCTCAGCCCTTAGCCTTCTCCTGGACAGGGCCAGGCCGAGTGACAGGGAGCCCCATACCTTCAATTTGGACTGAATCTCCCGAGATTTCCGCCTGGCTAGAACCTGCAAGTGGCTAGAGACCTGTAGAGAGAGAGCAAGAAAGAAAGAAAAAAGAACGGAAAGAGAGCAAGAACACAGCTTAGCCAGAGAAGAGGCACGGCCCGGGCTGTGCAGAGTGGCAGAGGCACCGTGAGGAGGGGCCCAGGGAGGCCTGAGGCCCCAGTCAGGCGCCCAACATACCTTGATGCCAACCTGGTACTCCCGCACCTTCTTCCGAGCTAGAACCTGTATGTGGCTGGACACCTAGGGGCCGCCCCGCGTCCCGCCGAGAGGAAAACACAGACAGTGAGGAGGCACAGCCGCAGGGTGGCCATGGGCAGGGTGATCCCAGCCCTCATCTCTGGGGGACCAAATGTAAATGGGGGAACTGTGGGCAGTTGCCTCCTGGCACTGCCAATTCTGCTCTCATCTTGGTCTTGTATTGATTAAGAGCCCACCATGTCTTCCAGGACCACCACGTACAGTTACGTAGTTTGTTCACTACACAAAAATACCTGGCCAGGGGTACCAGTGAGAGTTGAAATCTAGCCCTGGTACAGGGCTGCACCTAGCTCAGAGGAAGGGTGTCTTTCCCCCTCTTTTTCTCACTGGTGTCCTTAGAGGAGACACCTTTTTCACACACAACAGAGGACAGCAATGGCCAGGATGCTCCAGCTAGTCATTAGGTCATACACTAAGGCCAAGATCTCCCCGTCTACTGCTGCCCACCTCCTGTCCACCACGGCAGCTTGCTAGCCCATAAACCCAGCTTCTTTCCTAACACACGTGCCTTCCCTCTCCTTGGACTAACATGCCGGCCTGGGGTAAGTACATAGTAAGTGCTCTTAATTGCACCTCGGGCTCTGCCAGCAACCTCCTTCCTGCAGCCTCTGTGGGCAACCCTGAGCCAATCCCACTCTCAGTGTGTACGTCCTGGGCTGGTGTGCCAGACGTCCTCAAGGAACACACGGAGTCCCAGAGACCCACGTGTCACTGTCAGCCACTGCACTGGCTCTTAGCTTTCTCTGCAAGTTGCTTTTGTTCCCACAGAGACACAGTTTCTTTTCCTTTTTAATCACAGCCTGAAAGTTACTATGTATGTGGTGCTCAGGGCTCTGCTACTGGGTTAGGACCTGGTGGGCCTCCCCCCAGGCAGCACTGCACACAGGAATCAGGCTCAGGGGCAGCGAGATTAAGGACCACTTTAGGCCACGAGATGCCATGTTCACTAAGCACACACGAATTCAGCACTTCACACACACAAATTCATTTGATCTTTGTAGCAGCACTAATCCAACTTCTGACAGATGATGAAATCTAAGCACAGAGGAGTTAAGCAATTATTCCTAGGACACCCAGCTGTGTGCAAGAGCTGGAACTTGAACCCAGGCTGCCGGATGCCCCAGCCCACTTGCTTCCCTACCAAGCTATTCTACCAGGACTCCTCAGACCCGTAGACACAGGGCACCACCTCCAAATGGCCAGCTCTGTGACAGCTGAAAGTCACATGAGACTCAATCCCAACTTAATATTCAGCTGTTTGGTCAATGTGGAGGCATGGCCCTTGCTATTAACTGCTACATGCAATTAATCTGAAAAAAAAAAAACTAAAACTGCATTTCTTTGCCCCAAACCCCAGTCAACTAGTTGGTCATTGTCACACACACAGACAAGCCCCATCCACACAACCACAGGATGGTCCCCTTTTTGCAGGGGACATTAGACGTAAAACCCAGAGTCCCAACAGAGAATAAAGCTGGAGAAGGATGAGGATGGCAGTTTGTAAACACCAGGCTCGCCACGAAGCTCAGAGCGCCCCCTTCCTGGCCCAGGACAGCTCTGTTTATAGTAAGGACAGTGACTGCAACAGCGGTGACAGTGGCAAAGGCTTACAGGGCACGGTTTCCAGCCCTAACACATTGGCTCCCTTAACGGCTGAATAACTGAGGATGGGGGACTCCAGCCCCAGCCCCTGGCAGCAGAGCTGGGGTTTGGACCTGGGGTCTGAGCCCCGAGTCCCTGTTCTTAAAAAACAGGCTCGACTCCCTCATGGGCCCAGGGACCGGGTGGGCAGCTGCCTGCCGCCCCCTGGAGCCTACGCAGTGCGGCACCTCAGAGTGAGCTCAATGAATTCACGCAGCACCATGGAGGCGGGGCAGGGAGGTGCTTAGTCAATGTTAGGAACAGGAGGCGCCATTTCCACCCCACACTGGGTGGGGGGCGACTGAGCCTTCCTCTGGGCCTGGGCTTGGGCAGGCCAGGCTGGTCACCTATATACACAGGGATCCAAGGAGGGGGGTACATGGTCCAAATCTCCCCCAGACAGGGAGGGTGGGAGGCTGAAGGTGGGAACGGCCTCCCTTCCTCCAGGTTCCTGCCTCCAGCCCAGCCTCACTCCAAGACACCCCAAACACAACTCAGCAAAACCCACGGCCCTCCAGGTTTCCTGTCACCACCCGCTGCTTTCTCTGGACCAGAAGCCATCACTGTTTCTCTCTCTATTCCGACCACCACCGTCACCGCCACCCTTGTCCAGGGCCCTCTCCACCTCCCGGTCAGCCTCCCTGCCTCCACCGGGTCCTCCCTGATCCACTGCCCTGGCTGACCCAGGGCCTCCTTCCTCCACAGCTGCCACCTTCCACTCTCTCTAAACCGGCCTTGAATCCTGCCACCCTGGGGGACGTTGTCCCCCACACTTCTAGCTGAACCACAGCCTCTCCCACTCCACACTACACTGCCCCTGGGTGGCTCGCCCTGTCCAGTGAGCTGAATCCTGGATCCTCCCACTCCAGCCTAGTGACATGGAGGAGTTACTTAACCTCCCTGTGCCTCAGTTTCCTCATCTGAAAAATGGAGACAATCACTGTGCCCACCTCCTAAGGTTGCTGAGAGGATTAAATAAATTGGTATAAAGTGAGTTTTGCAGGGATTTAGGATTTTTATGATTATACTCAGGTGTCACTTAAGGATGGGAAGAGTTCTGAGAAGTGTGTCATTAAGTTGTTTTGGCACTGTGCAAACATCAGAGGGCACTTACACAAGCCTGGAGGTACAGCCTGCCACACACTTGGGCTGCATGGTACACACTGTGGTACACACACACACGGCCCCCCGGTGACTAACACATCATTACGTGGTGCGTGACTGCACTGCAATCTGCATAGCCAACTTGCTCAACCTGAAAGGGTCCTCCTTTTCTTCTCTGACTAACTCTTAAAAATGCAGCTCAGGTGCCACCTCCTCCAGGAAGCCCTCCCTCGCCCTCCTCCTGGCCTGGTCTGGTTTAGATGCTCATCTGCCTATCAGTGCCCTGCACACCCCTGTCTCGGCCAGGCCATCCTGCTCTGTACTTGTCTGTCTCCCTGACGGTGACTGGGCCACTCAGGTCATGGCTTTTCTGTAGGCCCTGAAGTACAGGCCATGGGTGGGTGGCAGGTAGTCAGGGAAGACGGTGGGGCCACCTCCCCAGGAGCTACGAGTGGGCCTGTGAGGACACCCGGGACAGGGGAGCATCAATGCAGCAGTGCAGGGCAGGCCGCTCTGAAGAGGGGGCAGCTCGGAGCAGACCCGGGGGGTGCAGTCTAGGGGAGAGGCCTGTCTCGGTACCTGTTTCCTTGTCCGCGTCTTTCCTGTCCTCAATTTAATGTAGCGTGCGATCAGCTCATTCCGACCTAGATGAGGTAAGAGAGAAAATGAGGTGAGGGAAGAGGGCAGAGCTGGAGACCCCACAGGGCCCCTTCCTCACTGTCCCCAAGCTGCACAAGTGGGCCGGCGAAGGTGGCTAGGGAGCCCAGGTGCTGGGACCTGGGGGTTGCTCATCGGGAGAGATGGGATGGGGGCTTTAGATGTCGTGCAGATGCCTGGGGTAGGTGTGTTGTAGGACAGCCAGACAGGGGGCCCAGAGGGCCTGGCCTGGGTGGCACCCCTGTCACTCGCAGCCTGGAGCAGTGCTTCTCTCCTGGGTCACCAGCTTGGAAGCTGAGTGTTCATATCTGGGTATGGAGGGGTTCACCGACGTGTGAGCCAGCTGTGACCCAGGGGGTGGGCACCTCAGCACGTGCCCATTCACACCCTGAGAGATCTGGACTGACGTCCAGCCTCACTCTGTCCTGGTCACGGGGCACCCTAGACAAGTCTCTTCCCTTCCTCGTATGGAACATCTCTCCTACACAGACAACCTGTGACAAAGGTGTCACTTATGCGTGTCACGGTGTCCTTGTGCCTGCCGTCCCATATTTCAGGTTGCTGCATCTCCTACCCCTAAGAGTGCCAAGCTGCCTGTGAGCCTCGTAGGGGCCCTGCTCAGCCCCCAGGAACCCTGGGGAACTGGCCCTGTGAGGGGGCCCCTGGACACATGCTTGGGTGTGTGCCAGCATCCTCTACCCCAAAATCTAAGCCCACTGTCCCCCAACCCCTTGGCCTCCACAGAATGGCCACATTCTCCAAATTCCTCTCCCATGACAGATTCATCCCCACGGGCTCCGCCCATCACCCAGCCCCTCTCCACCCCACTCCCTCCACCCTGTCTAAAAATACCCTGTGGGGCTGCCCCGGCCATCTGGGAGGTGGCAGTGGGGGCAGGAAGCCCCCACCCTATAGAAGGCGCCCTGGAACTTCTGCCTACGCAGGAAAAGGGGGCTCGGGTGCTAAGGACAGGCGTGGCAGGGGGTGGAACGGAGGAGGCACAGGCCTGCCATTCCCCACTCTGCCAGAGTCCTGCCACTGGGAGAGGGGCTGGGGGCTTGAATCCACAGCCACAGGCTGTTGGGAGGGCTGCTGCAGCCGGCGGAGACCAGGGCGAAGCGTCAGAGGGCCGGGTATTCCGAGAAGGCAGCTCTGGGGGCTCCCTCGGGTGGTGCTGCGCAGGACCCCCGCTGCCTTCTGGAGCAGCCAGACGGCAGAAGGGGCCAGAAAACCCGGAGCGGGCAGGGAGAGGGGCGTCTGAAGAACTGAAAAGGCCCCGGTCCTCCGTCCTCCTCCCAGCACAGGCCCTGGTCACAGCGTGACCTTCCACCCGACCCTGGCAGGAGCTGAGCAGAGCTGTCTGGCGGGCCTCGCCCCCAGGCCTCCTTCCCACTCCCTCCCAGGCAGGGACCCTCGCCCAGGCCTGGACACTGGACTGACCCAGTTTCCTGGGCCCACTGAGTCACCCCGAAACCTCCAGGCCGGCAGCGGAGGAGAGGCGGAGCAGGCGGGGTGAGGTGTGGGCTGCGGGCCGCCCGGCTGGTTTGAGGAGGCCCCAGACACCAGGCTGCACGCCCAGACTCGCCGGCCGCCTGCCCAGGCCCCAGGACTTCCCCGACTGGTTGGGTGAGGGGCAGAGAGCAGGGGGCGGGGCCGGGCGCCCTCCGTGTCCCGTGCCTGCCGCACGCACCGTACATCTTGCCCTCGTCCGACAGGATGATCTTGCGCCGGCCGCAGGGCGGGTAGATGGCCAGGGCCTCCTGGAAGCTCTGCTCGATGTCCGGGCTCCACACGCCCTCGGCGTCGTTGTCCAGCCCCTTGTCCAGGCCCTCGGGCCCATCCTCCCGGGCCTCCCCGGGGCTGCTGCTGGCATTCCAGCTGTTGGACGCTATGGTGCTGGTTGCTCTGGGCTCTGGGCCTGAGCCCACGGGACGGCCTGAGCCTGGGGGGCAGAGGCAGAGGGTGAGGGTCAGGGTCCTTCTGCCCACAGCCATCTCCCATCCCCCAGTCACCTCTGGACCCTGCCCCCACCCCCAGTCCCACTCTAGGGCAGGGGGTCCTAGGTGTTCCCAGGTGGGATGGAGGTCACCAGAGGTCATGCTTCTTTAGAGCCGGGTGGACGAGCTACTTTACCTCTCTGAGCCTTCACCCTGTGAAATGAGGAAAGGGCCTCCTTAGAGGGGTTGTAGGGGTAAAAACTTAAACGAGATCATGACAAAGTACCATCCACAATGCTGTCAGAACACTCAAGATAGTGTGACCAATAACAGCAACAGCGACAATGCCGTACACCTGCTTCCCGGTACATACACATGCTCTTCCTGGGGGAAAAGCTCTTGCCTATGCATTCAGTCAGAGCCATAGCAGGGAAGGGATAACAGGAGCAATGCCCGGTACTGCGGTCAAGAAAACTGAGGCTCACAAGTCAAACAGCTGCCAAGGCACCAAGAGGAGCAGCTAGGAGAAGCAGGGACAGGGCAAGGGGTTTCTGCTGCTCTCTGAGGGACACTGTGGCTCTCGCCCAGCAGAGAAGATGCCCAACCAGGGACCCTACCCCTCATTCTTACCCCACCAATGCAGCCTTGCTGAGGAACACTGGTGGGGTAAAGAGGGTCCCAGACCTGGGAGAGGAATGGCTGCTCCTTCCCTAAATAGACAACTAAGGAGGACCTTGCCGAGGAACCCAGACGCAGGGCAGGAAATGCCCCAGGAATTGGAAGAAGACAGCGACGATGGCTGCTGGGTGGCACGGGAATGGCTGAGAAGGTGCCCCGCCAACGGCCAAGCCAGACCCCACCCGCTCCTCCATCCCACTTCCTGTTCCCTCACCTTCAGGGCCCCAGTGCAGCCCATAAACCACCCACACGCCTCCCCTGTCCTGACCCACAGAGCAGATGGGCCAGGGCTCTGTAAACTGAGTTCCGGGCAGTTGCCAAGCTGGGTTATTAATTCAGAGCACATCAGCCAGTCCCTGCAAAGCACAGCCTCTCCTCAAACCCTCAACCCAGAACCTGCATGATCGATGCATATCAGAGTCCAGGGGCCCCAGGGCCTGTGACCCTAGAGCTTTGCTCTGGGCAGCAGAAAACACAGTGAGCAGGGTATCCTCAGAGTGAGGACCCCATCAGGAACCAGGGAGGGGAATATGACAGGCCCTGCTGAATGGCAGCAGGGGTGGGTGTGGGTAGGGGTGTGGGGGGCTTTCTCCCTGTGGAGCCACCTGTTTGCTTTGAGAAGCCTGAGGGGGTCACTAGTGGAATGGGGTTATCTGAGTATCAGGCAGACATTGAATTTAGACTTGATTTTACTACTAATAACAGCACCTGCCATTGCCAGGCATGGCTCTGGAATTTTACACACGTTGACTCATTTAATCCTCATCATAATCCTACTGAATAGACATCATCATTCCTACTTTACAGATAAGAAAGCCAAGGACAGAGAGGTTCAACAACTGGCTCAAGGAAACACAGCAAGTAAGTGCTAGAGCTGGGTTCTGAGCCCAGGGTATTTGGCTGGAGTCTTTTAACCAAGCAGGCCCAGCTCTCACAGCAGCTGCCTTGAGTCTGCTCAGTGGGTCCAGGCCAGGGGATCCCCTCAGTCCAAGCAGCTGGAGCAACTTCAAGACACCCCCAGCTCCGCCGCCACACACTGCTGTGTATGCCTTCGTGTGAGGCCTGCAAGACCACTAGGAAATTGCTTGCACAGCCAGTGGGTAGCCAGAGTCAGAAGGGCCAGATTCCCCCATCCCCAGCCTGTCCCTCACGCCAGGAAGCAGTATGCAGACCCCCCAGCCTCAAGGCCAAAGCTTAGATAGGAATGAGGGGACAAAGGGGTGTTGTCTGGTGGGGGAGGGATGCTGAGGGGCCAGGGACTCCCATGTTGAAGCTGTTGGGAAGCTGGGCCTCTCCCCAGACTGGCTCTTAGAGGGAGGGAAAGAGGGGTTCCTTGGCTTCCACCCTCCTGGGGAAGTCCTCAACCCCTTCCCCAGGCCTCCCTCAGAGCAGCATGGGACCCAGTGCATGGGGGCCCTGGCAGCCCCAGACTTCTGCGGCAGCTTGCGGCCTCCCTTGTCCAGGAGGTGCCCCCCCCTCCCGGGTGATGTCAGCCCTGCCCCGCCCCCTCGGGAGCACTGTGGCCAAATATGGCGAACAGAGCAGCGCCCGCCTGCCTGGAGCTGGGACAGACTGGGGGCAGGGCAGTGGCCCCTGGTGGCAGGACTAGGGCAGCTGGGGAGGGGGAGGGGCACAGTGGGGGCCCAAAGGACGAGTCAAGGAGAGAATGGGGACCCTGGTCCCTCATGCTGGCTCTTAGGCACCCGCAGAACTGACCTTCCAGGAAAGCCCCTGGGGGCAGAGGTGCCCACACAGGGGCCTGCAGGTGGCACCCCCAAAACAGAGCTCTGCCCAGCAGCACCAGTGAGCAGATCTGCTGCTCTGTTCCTACCCCAGGAGGAGGTGCGCAAGTGGACGGTCACAGCGGGCAGCTGCTGGGGGCTGATGAGGTCTCCAGCGACTTCATCATGCAGGAGGGGTCAGCGTGAGGAGCCGCCTGGCTGCTGTCTCCCAGAATTACTACCCTGTTTGTGGCAAGGACAGCGACTCACAGGTGCCCACCCCCTGGTCCCTGCCCCACTGGGACTGGCCTGGTGACAGAAGTGGCTACAGGCTCCTGTGCGAAATCCAGAGGGGGCTGACTGGGGCAGGAGGGCAGGCAGGGGTTGGGAGGGACGCAGCCCCCGGGGCAAACCACTTTGCTGGGCTGTGCCAGCAAGAGGGGCAGGAGACCCAGTGAAGGCTGGGAGTGGAGCCTGAGAGCAGAGGGGACAGGGTAGGACAGACAGACAAGAGTCCCAGAGAGAGAGCCAGAGGAGACGAGGTGCCAGAGCCACAGACAGATGGAAAAAGCTGGGGTGGGGGGAAGAGAGTAGAAAGAGTGGTCACACCACACAGAGACCAAGACCCAGGGAGGGGGCATGCAGCAGAGGGAGTAAAGGGGACAGGAGGGGAAAGGCCAATAAATCCAGATAAGACAGGCATGGGTGGGGCGGGGGTGCAGAGAAAGACAGGGACAAGGACAGAGATACCCAGAGGTCAGGGCAGACCAAAAAAGAAGGAGTGACGGGAAGGCCACAGTGGAATCAGCCACATCCAGGCCATCCCACCCTGTCCTAGGGCTCAGCCTCCACCTCCAGCTCAGGCCGCAGCCCTCAGGTGGGCTACTCAGCCTCACCCTGCCTGACCAGCCCCACCTGCTTCGCCTTTCCCAGGCCCTCAGCCTTCTGGGGTCAGAAGGTGGCTCTGGGTGGTGGTGGCAAGCACAGGGGCTAGGAGGCTAGGTGAGCAGGCTTTGGGGCCCTGGAGCAGATAAGGGGCACCTTACTGCCCACTCCCCACCCTGAGGCCAGACCTGCTGGAAGAACTGGCTGGACAGCTCCAGGGATGCAGGCCAGAGCTGAGCTGCTGCAGAGGCCCCGGCCCAGCCCCGCCCCTGGCCCTGGCCCTAGCCCACCGGGCCCTATACAGCTCCTTCACCAGGGGAGGGCCGGCCAGGCGGAAGCACAAGCTCTCTCAGGACTGTACCCTGGTGGGAAAGGCAGAGTGGCAGGAGCACACCTACCCCGCCTCCCTGCCACCCTGCACCAGTCCACAGGGCAGCCTGTCTCCCCAGACCCTGGCCCTCCATTCAAGTATGGGAGGATCTGTGAAGTGCAGGGAGCCCCCTGTCCTCACCCTGGGCTTGGCTGAGCAGCAGGGTTGAGCATGGGAAGGCAACAGGGGGCCTGGAGAGCTTCCCGAGCCCTTGGCCTTTTCTCCTACCCCCACCCACCCGCCCCACAGTGGGCCAGCTGTTCTCCAGCTGCCAAGACTCCCACCCTAGCAGTGGCCACGCTCCGGTTAGGACCAGACTGTGCTGGGGGGAGGGGGTAAGTATGGTGTTTGCATCCCCCACCTCCAGCTCAAGGACCCTTGAGGGACCCTGCCAAGTGGCCACACCCTGCCAGGCTGCAGGGAGGACCCTCTTCCCTGGAGCAGGATCCGGGATTTTTACAGGAGGAAGCAATTTGCAGAGCCCACTAGGAGAAGATGGGGGCCTCCGCCCCTCTCCCCCAGATCATTAATGTGCTTCCAATTTGGGAATCAAGCCTCTACCCCTCCTCTTCCAGCCACTTGGGGTGGGGGTTTTCTTGGGACCAGCGTGGGGTGGATAGTCCCCCCAGGCTCCCTTCTCCAAAGCTCATCCATAGGTTGTCAGTGTAGGAGGCAGGCTGGAGAGTCTTCAAGTCTCCTGCAGAGAAGGGACCAGTTCTGGACCTTCTCCGGCTCTTTGAGACTATCCTTCCCTCATCTGGTCCCATACCCAAGGAGGGAGTCCCAGGTATCAGTGGGGACCCCTTGGTTCTCAATTAACAGTGGGTGCCCTGGGTCACCCACTGAGCTGTACCAGCCACTCAGGCTTCCTCTGTGCTCTTCCTCTCTCACACGTGCTCTGTTTACTGCCACTGTCCTGCTCATTCCCTGTCACCTGCGCCTCTCCCCTTCCTTTTTAAAATTTGTATTCTGACAAAATATACATAAAACATAAGTTTTATCATTGAAACTATTTTTATGTGCACAATTGAGTGGCACCAAGGACATTTCTTCTTATGGTTTTGAACAGTATCTTTTTCATGGTCTTCCACATAGATGCCACATGCATTGGGGTCTCAGGTCCCCACAAGCATCACCCACAGGATCCCACGCCCTGTCTGGCACAGCCCTGAGGACATCACCCACAGCAGCTCAGATACTGACCACCCACAGAGCCGGTCTCAGTCACACCCCACAGTTTCTTTCACACAGACATGCGCACTCAGAGTGGCAATCGCTGTTTCCCCTGTGCCCGGTGTTCACACTCAGATCCTCGCCACAGTACACCCTCAGATGTGACCACTGTGCCCTTGTCACATAGCATGGCCACAGTGGGTCCTATCCTTTTATTCATACCTAGTGTCCTATCCAGTCACACCTGAGGCCATCTCATGCTGTTTCACAACATACAACGTCAGAACTGGTCACGCTGCAGCATCCTCTGTCACCCAGGATGTCACCGGTTCTGCCTCTGACACATGCAGCCTCACATTTGTGCACACCCTCCTCAGGCACACACACAGACAGCCAAAGCAGTCTCCCTCACAGACTCCAGTGTGATGGCCACACATTACAGGGAACGTCACCCATACAGCTTCCCACATACGCATGCAGTGAAGATTCGCAGATTCTCCCAGGGACTTATATTGCCAGTCACACAGAGAAAATGTCACAGTGGCTCTCACAGGCATGAATTTCACAAAGTCACAGAAAGTTTCTCTCACATACATATCGAGCCTCCCAGGAACTGTATGGAGCACTGGCCTCTCCCACACACATTCACCTGACACACGGTCTCATCCACACAGTGTCACACTCCCGGCCTCTCTCGCACACCCAGCGTCACACACAGTTGCACTGTTTTCCCTGTATCACTTCCTGTCCAATCGGGCCTGGCAGGGAGTACAGGAAGCAATCAGCACTCTAGGAAACCCCAAGGACTGAGGTTTTGCAGGGAGATGGAATTCTCGGGCCCCAGTCTCCAGCCCCCTGTGGGTCCAAGGGAAGGAGCAGGGCCCTCTCCAATTGGGCAGCAGCCACTCCTGAAGCAGACCTCCAGGGAAAGGCCGTGGGGACAATGCTGAGTGTGACCTGCTGACCTCCCAGCTCTAACTAGAGAGGCTCTTGCCATGCCCTCAGGGCTGCCCAGAGGTCCTCGGAGACATGGATCCTGAAGGCCACCTTTTACACCCCACCGCTTCTGCTGCCCTGTGTGGGAAAAAGAAGCCGGGACCTCCTGGGCACCTCCACAGAGGACGGCAGCATTCAGACCCTCAAAGCTCTCCAGCTGGCACCACCAGCTTCCCTCTCACTATGAACCCCCCTTCTGCTCCCCTGTACCCTGAGCAAGGAGGTGGGTAGGACAGGCAGCTCCTGTTCCAGCCTCTTCCACAGTGAGACCTAGTGGGCCCCCAGAGGGCTCTGGGAATGGAACAGAGGGGCAGCCATCCAGGTGGTCTCTGAACACCCCATTTCATCTAGCCCAGCTATACCTTACTCCAGATGACAAGTTTCCCCAACTCTACTGGGCCTCCCTGTCCCTTGACACCTGCTGCAGGCAAAGTTTTCAGCCATGCCTACCTGGTGTAGCTACTCCTTACCGCCTCCTGCCCTCTAATGTGTCTGTCTTGCCTTCTTTGCTGCACCATTTGGGAGAACCCACCCAACTGTCTTGAATCCACCTGGTTCAAGCTCACTGATAGGAGGAGAAGGAAGGTAAAGGAGGGATACAGAGACCCTGGGAGGGCTCCAAGAAAAGACACCCAAGAAAGTCATTTATTCCAAGCAGGGAAACTGAGACCCAAGAGACTTCAACTTGACACAGTTAGTGAAAGGTTCACCTGGGACCAGATCCCTAATTTCTTGACCTCCTCTGTTGAGCTACCTCGTCTTGATTTAGTTTGTCTCCAACAGTGTATATTAGGGTCTGCAAACTGGTGAGGGCCAGCATGGGGCTTAGGGCATGCATGTTCAGGGGCACATGTGTCAACACACAGGCACACACACTCAAAGCTCTCTCCTGCCAACCATTGACCATTCTGCTCAGCCATGTCCCAGCACATATGTGCTAATTAGCATTAATTACTGTTACCTCCTGGGAGATGGGGGTGGGAGCAAGAGCCTGAGATGCTTATAGGTTCCTAGCCACTCCAGAAGGAGTCGGGATACAGGGACCCTGAAGTGACCCTCATCAGATAGATAACCAATCTGGGAAGATACACACATTGGTCTATCCCCTGCCCACAGGGTGAGCAGGAACCCAGAAGAGCAGAAAACCAAGTACTCTGAGGGGTACCTCTAGAGGAGAGGGTCTTGGGAAGGGGCTATAGGAGTCTGAAATCCCCCTAAGCTTCCAACCTTTTAGGAATTCTGCTTTCCCTCCTGGCCCCAGGTTGCATGCAGCATCCTGGTCAAGGAGATGTCCTGGCATCCAACTCTGGGATGGAACATGTATTCACAGAATTAGGCCTCAGGAGACCCTGATACACAGAACCACCACCAGCACTAGACCCTCTGAGCTGTATCCAGCCTCCATCCCCCTCCTCTGTGCTGGACTACAAGTCCAGGCCTGACCTGGTTCTGCCCATACCTGGAGAGAGGGAAGACAGAAAGAGGAAGCCCTCACCCAGGGCCTCATGCCCCCTTCCCTGAATCTCAGCTCTGAACCAGGACAGAGTGGGAAAGGTGACAGAGTGGAGTCTCAATGATACTGCCCCAGAGCCTGGATGGGCTGGAAAACAGACCCAGACCAGCACGCCAGTCCTCCCTTTCCCCAGGCAGGAATAGGGCATGACACAATGAGGGGACCCGGTGGGAAAGGGTGCACCAGCCGCCCTCCAATACTCTACTGTTTAAAGAAGGGCCCTGAAGAAGTGCCGCGAAGGCCCCAAATCCCACCCCTCCGAGCTCAGAGCTGGAACTCCGACTTCCATCGGGACGCGGGCAGCAGAACTGCAGCTAACTTGAGCTCCTGCCTTTTGAGGGGCACACAGGCGGGGCGCACAGCTTGGCTCCCTGACACCCTCCACAATCCAGTGCAGCCGCGGGCACCGCGCGCAAGAACCCGCCCGGGCGCCGGGAGGCCCGGCCCAAGGCCTGCCTGGAGCTGGGGCCCGGCGGGCTCCTGGAGAGCGCGAGCCGGGAGTCCAAAGGGCGGCGGGGCCCGGGACTGGGCGCCCCGGGTACAAGTCCCCGGTGGCAGGCCCTCCAAACCGTGCGGTCTCAGGTGCCGGTGCGGACACCCGAAGCGCGAACCGACCGACAGCGAAGGCACGGGGGACACAGTCTCCCGGCTTCCCTACTCCGCGGACCGACTCGTCCCGGTCGCGGGGGGGTAGGTGGGCGGGGCTTCCCGGAGAGATTTTCTCCCCCTTCCCTCTAAACTTCCCGGCACCCAGATCCGGGGCTCCAGCTCAGGGTGGACAATAGCTCCGGACCCTGCCCCTCTTGAGCGTTTCCCCCGATTCAGAACCAACCAACCAACCACCTCTCCCAAGCAAGGCCTCCTCCCGGCGTCC